GGGAGGTGTCTCACAGGCGCCCCTGAAGGGCGTCGTACAAGCGTCTTATAAGCGCTTACGAGAGGTAAGTGTCTTACAGGCGCCTCTGAGAGGTGTTATACAAGCATATTACGAGCGCCTCTAACAGGTGTCTTTAGAAGCGCCTCGGAAAGGCGTCTTACAAGTGCCCTTGGGAGGCGTCTTACAAGCGTCTAAAACGAGTGTTCTTTCCACTCACCATCCTGTGGTGTTGGGTCCTCGTTTTGATAAGTTTTGAAGAGACAGCGCCCCGCGTTCCTCCTCTCCTCTCCTCTCCTCTCCTCTCTTCTCGTCTCCTCTACAATTACACAACATGAATACTACTCTCCTCGCTCCCCTGATGACGTCCAGAAGATATCCGGTCCCCCTCCGCGTATTACAGGATTCCGGGGAAAAGGGTTTTAGCTTGGTTTGTTTCAAAGCGTTGCTCCCGCTGACGCGCTGGACTCATTTCTGCGCCTCTGGTTGTTCCAAATCGTGCTCCCGCTGCAGCGCGGGCGCTTTCGGTCCTTCCAGATAGGCCCCAAAATCTAGAAAATGCCCCCCCGATAAACCATCGGAAGTGAAGTACAAATTCGGTGGCGATTCGTCGATTTTGGGGGCCGCAGAACCCCCCCCACTTTGGGGCGTCGTCGTTCTCAAGAAGTATCAAGTGGGGAACCCGTTTCTGCTTTGAGAAGGCGATGTTGGAAGCAGAGCCAGCGGGTGCTCTCCATCAGCCCCGCCTTGTGTGGAGCGTTTCGGGAAGCCAAAGGAGCTGGACATGGAGCCACGACTCTAGACCAGCCCAGACTTCTCAAAGACGATCCACTTACCCTTCAAGGAACCCGGCGCCATGCCATGACATGCTGTGCGGTGTTGCTTTCTGCACCGCTGTGCGATGCCATGCTTTGTGTTACAATTATTTGTGATACAATGCTTCACTGCGCAATGCCACGCCATGCTATGGCATGCTACGCTCTGCCGTGCTCTCCTACGCCATGCCATGCCGTGCTCTACCATGCATCGCGAACCCTCTCGCGATCATCGCCCTGCTCGACGTCCCACTGTGCGAATAGAGAGGAGATCTACGCCATGGTAAGGGAAGGGAGCGAAGGGCAGGACGTCAGATATGACGCGAGCACGCCTAGCTTGAGGAGGAGGAGGAGGAGGAGGAGGAAAGAGGAGGAGGAGGAGGAGGAAAGAGGAGGAGGAGGAGGAGCCTCCTCCCTCCCTCCCTTCCTCCTCGCCTCTGCCCCCCGCACGCTTCTGCTGCGGCCCCCCCCCCCTCACACGCCTCGGGGCCCCAGAAGGAGCTCCACCGAAGGCCTCAACGGCAGGGTTCGCACGGCGGCCCCGCCCCATTTCGGCACACCCCTCACACGCTTCGTGGCCCCATAAGGAGCTCCACCGAAGGCCCCAGTGGCAGGGTTCGCACGGCGGCCCCGCCCCATTTCGGCACACCCCTCACACGCTTCGTGGCCCCATAAGGAGCTCCACCGAAGGCCCCAACGGCAGGGCTCGCCCGGCGGCGTCGCCCAAAGTTCGGCACGCCCCTCGCACGCCTCGCGGTCCACATGCAGAACCCCGTCGAGGGCCCCGGTGGCAGGGACTTCCTGGGACCTCCTCTGCCTGTATGTTGACACCCCCTGTGAAAGCGAGAGTGCTGGATAGCCCAGCGTTTGCCCCTCGTCTCACTTGTTTCTTATCCGTAAGCATTGCGGCTCCCAGGGCCCTCGAGTCTCAGGCGGCACACGGAAAACATCAGCGCCTATCCCAGAAGTTGCATCTTCACATTGGTAGCGGAGCTGTTCGACCCACGGACACGCCTTCGCAGCATCGAAGAGAAGCAGCTCGCAGCATCGAGAGAAGCAGCTCGCGGCATCGAATTCGGCGGATAGACCGCCACACATTAATCAATACGAGGCCGGATATCTACAGAGAGATCTACAGCAGGACCGGCAAGGATGGCGCCCAAGGTGGACCCGTCCGAGGAAGTGGCAGAGGGTGAGGAAGGACGTGCCCGGCAGCAGGGAGGACCCCACGTTCCAGCTCCCGCCTTCGACCCGCAGACGATGACAATGAAGGATTATAGGAGGCGAGTGGCGATATTCAAGATAAGGACCAGACTGCCCCTTGAAAGGCAGGCCGCGGAGCTCTACGCAGAACTGAAGGGCGACGCCTGGATTCATGCAGAGGACCTCGACCCGACGGAGCTTCAGAATGACGAAGGGGTCCAATTGCTGCTCGATTTCCTAGCAGATAAGTTCGACGACGAGAAGGTGATGGAGCTTGGGTCCGAGCTAAAGACTTTCTTCACACGCATGCGCCGCGACAGCGGCGAAGAGATCAGGGCTTACATCAACCGCTTCGACACGCAGGTCTCGAGACTTAAGACAATGCAGATCGAGTTCCCAGATCAAGCGCTGGCGTGGTTGTTCATGTGGTTGCTTGGCCTGCCGCCAGATCGAGAAGCTGGAGTGCTGAACGCCAATCAGAATAAATACGAGCTCAAGCCTTTACAGAAGCAGACGTTGCTTAACGTGAAGGACGCCGAGGCACTGGACAAGCACAACTCCCGGAGGCCAGCCCCCATGACACCACTAGCGCCCAGAGGTCCGCCAGCACGACCTCGACGATGGGGAGCTCACATCACCGAGAACGATGAGGAGGAGGATCTCGAGGTGTACGAGACCCAGGTGGACGACGATGACCTGCCGGAGGAGTTGCTTGAGGAGCACGAGGAAGCGGAGGCCGAAGTGTACAAGTTAGAGAAGATGCTCGCCCGAGCGAAGGACAGGCAAAAAGACGCCAAGCAAGCTATAGGATTTCATCACAGAGATCGGCTACCTGGGCGCGGACCTGGTAAAGGACCTGGCGGAAAAGGCAGTCCTGGAGGCGGCAAGGGGCCCGGCGGCAAGGGCTCGGACCGCATCCAGAAGCTGAAGGCGAGGACTCACTGCGCAGTGTGCCAGAAGCTGGGACACTGGAAGGGTGACCCCGAGTGTAAAGGAGCGCCAAGTAAGGCGCACATGACGACTGCCGACGACCATGACGAAGACGACCAGGGATCAGAGCAGTACCTCACGAGCTGGAGCAGCAAGGAGAAGCAGATCGAGAAGCAGACGTTCTTCATCAACAATCACGTGCTGATGACCGGCACGGGCAGCGTGAACGTTATCATGGCTACGAAAGAGGAGCTGCTGCAGCAGTGCGGCGGCAAGCTGTTACCAGACTCGTGCTGCGCCAAGTCCGTTGGAGGACAGGTTTGGTATGATGACATCAAGAAGAGGCTCGCGAAGATGGGCCTCAAGCCGATCGAGTTTGACGAACATGAAATTTTCAGGTTCGGCGCCGGGAAGCCAGTCATGAGCACGATCGGAGCGCTGGTGCCGCTCGCAGTTCGCGGACGTCCCTTCACGCTGAGGATATCCATCGTGCCGTGCCTGGTCCCCGCGCTGCTGTCACAGAAAGCTCTTGGTCAGTTGGGAGCAGTACACGACCATGAGGTGGAGGCTGGCGAGAGCACCATGACGTTCAGGAAGCTGGGAGTCTCCAGCCTCGAGCTCGGGCAGACCAAGAGCGGACATCCGAGTTTTGATGTGTTGGAGTTCGACAGGGCTCACATTTTCACCATGGCTCCAGACGTGAGCCCCAGCCAGACAGAGATCAGGCTGCTTCCGCCATCACAGCGCTGGTGGAAAGAACTCGAGAGGAGCCCTCATCATCATCGATCGCAAGATCATCATGCTATGGAGGCCTCCCAAGCACATGTACGAGATATTCCTAGTGGGCCTCCAACGGGATCCCAAGGGGCCCCACGACAACCACATCAAGAGCGACCCGAATCACGAGGAGCCCAGCTTCAACACCATGAGGGATCCGAATCAGTACGAGCTAAACTTCAACGACTGCGAGAGCGATCCGAATCACTGCGAACTAAACTTCAGAAAGCCTCTGGAGCACCCCAACGAGAACCCTCTACGGACCAGTTTCGGGAAACGGACAAGCATGCCGAAGTACAGAAATCTATGCAAAAGCAGCAAGCACTAACACCAGCAAAATGTGTGCGATTTCACATAACGGGCAATGATGAACCAGTTCGGCCTCAGCCAAATGTGGTTCAAACCGTTTCAGGTGATTCTCAAGATCAGCATTCCCGTTCATGTGCGGATGCCTCTCAGCGTGCTGGCATGGATCCAGCGTTGGGACATCCTCGATGCCAGCACCAACGAGAAGTACAACACCGTAGCGCTGATGCGCTGGAAGCAGATTTTCACGCTGGTGTTCGTAGCCATCACGATGACCAGGCACCCGGCGGTGGCCCTCACCTTCCACAACGGGCGCCGCTACGGCCAGGAGGAGATCCTCGAGAAGCAGGCCGAGGCACCAGCACCCAGACGACTAAGACTACTACCGCTGGGGGCTATGGTCAAGGTGGAGCTGCAGGAGGATAATGGAGAGCAACGGGCTGGAGTTCCAAGGCCTGGGCTGCAGAGAGATGCGCGTGATCCTCAGCGAGCAGCGGATCGAGAACGGCCAGAGAGCCGCAGAGGAGCTCGAGCTGCAGATGCAGAACTCCGAGGACTCGCCAAGAAGTCACGAGCAGAGTTGGTCCAGCTGGCCAGGAAACGCAACGTGAAAGTTACCGACGACATGCTCAAGGACAAAATCGTGTGTTTGTTGCTGGGACAGACACCGAAAGCAGTCAAGAAGGAGGAGACCAAGGACGAGGTACCGCTGCTTACGACTTCGAGGGTTGCTTCAGCGACCAGGAGTGCCTCCTTGGCCTGTCGGAGCTCAGGAAGGGAGCAACAAGCACGACCAGTGGGACCACAGCCCTCGGAAGACTCAGAGAGCGACGAACCGCCAACCAGAAGAAGGAGCTCATCGATCAGCGACATGGCTATTGCAGCAGAAGACATCGGCGTAGAGGAGGACCAGACTTGGGAGATGATAGTTCCGAGGGGGAAGAGCAGGAAACAGTAGGAAGAAAGCGCAAGATGAAGCCGGGACAGGTCAAGCAATACAAGGACATGATCAAGAAGGCCGTCAGCTTCCTGACGTGGCAGACCACGTTCCTCGGTACCTTTCTGGCGAAGCCGCTCTTCTCGGGAGGGAAGGCTATCGTGCAAGACCTCTGCGACGTGTTCAACGTCAAGACCGACCCGAGCTACGACTTGATGCAGATCTTCGCAGGTGAGGCCGTCATCTCAGAGGAGTTCAGCCGAGCCGGACTCAAGGTGTGCGAGCCCATTGACCAAATCTACAACTACAACCTGCGGAGCGCTCAAGATCGGCGAGAAATTCTACAGCTCTACCGCACATGCAGGCCGAAGCTCCTCACATTGGAGTATCCCTGCACACTCTGGACACAGCTTACCAGGGTGAACTATCGAGGCGAAGCTAAACAACAACAACTACGCCGCCAGCGTCTTCGAGATCGTCCCCTACTAGACTTCGTGGAGGAGATTGGTATGATGCAGCTGAACAGCAAGCGAGACATCTTGTTCGAGAATCCGTTGACGTCGGAGGTATTCAAGCAGTCCCAGATCAAGCGTTTAAGGGAGCATCCCCGAGTGCAAGAGGTGAAGGTCGACATGTGCCAGTTCAACCTACGACACCAGCAGTCTAACGGAATGGTCAAGAAGCCGACGAAGCTCTTGGTCTCGAATGACTCCTACGTCAAGCGGCTGAGCAGGCAATGTGACGGACGTCACCAGCATCACCAACTGGAAGGAGCTCACTACACACGCAAGGCAGGACGATACACCAGAGAGTTCGAGAAGGCAGTCTTGCAAGCATACCAGCACAGCAACATGACCTACATGATGGAGAACGGAGTCTACGCGACCGGCGACTTGATGGATCTTATGGGTGGCGAATCGGACGATTGGTTCTACTACTAGAACGTGGGTGACTTTACCGAGATACCGGTCAAGTTGTCAGATGGACCTGACTGGATCCGCGTAGGCAGAAGAAGGGTCGTAGACCTCGAGACCGACACGGTGGTGCAGGACTTCGAGAAGGCCGATATCACCACGGATTTGATCAAGCCAAAGTTGGATCGCACTGCCAAGCTGAAGATTCAGCTATGGTACAAGCCAGAACCGGTTGCAGAGAACATCGGAGCCAAGGCCATCCAGTTTGGACCTGGAAGTTCAGAGTGCTTAAGCAAGGACCTGGCAGCTCTACGACAACTTCACCAGAACTTGGGCCACCCCAGTAACGAGGATCTTGCTAGATCGTTGAGAGTTTCAGGATGCAGACCAGAGGTAGCGAAGGCCGCGAAGTCACTACGATGCGCGACGTGCATGAGCAAGGCGCGGAAGAAGATCGCGAGACCAGCTAGACTTTCCCACACAGCCGACTTCAATGAGCAGATTGGTTTGGATTGTTTTACGATCAAGGATGTGAATGGCCAGTCATGGGATTTCTTGTCGGTGGTGGATTTAGGTACGACGTTTCACGTGGTGGGCATGATTGAAAGTCATCACTCGGAAGTCTTAGTTAAGGTGTTCACTCAGATATGGACCAGCTGGGCAGGACCACCAGCAAGTGCAGTCGTGGACTTGGAGCGTGGATTTGGTTCGGTCTTTCAAGATATGCTTGACAAGTTCCATTGCGTGGTCGTCCCAGTGGCCGGTCAGGCAGCGTGGCAACACGGACGGACTGAACGCCAAGGAGGCTGGTGGAAGGAGTTGGCCGAGAGGACCATTTCGCACACCTCGGCCTCAGGTGAGTCCGACATGCGCATCATCGCTTCCGTGGTCACGGGGGCCAAGAATGCGCTACGACGTCAATGTGGTTTCAGTCCAGAACAGTGGGTTTTCGGCAAGAGCGCGCGACTACCAGCTGATCTAGTAGACGGAGCTCACCATGACGCAGCGCATGCAGGAGCCGAACTACAACCGATGGAACGACAGCTGAAGATGCGGACCGCCGCCCGCAAGGCTTTCATGGAAATGCAGAACGATAGTACGCTACGCAAGGCACTACTGGGCCGTACTCGCGTACACCCCCATCCGCTTGAGCAAGGTGATCTTTGTTTCTACTACCGCCAGCTCAAGAAGGGCTCGATCAAGAAGGGCACCTGGTTGGGACCAGCCGTGATCGTGGGGAAACAAGGCCAGAACTATTGGATATCGCACGGTGGTTTCACCAAGCTCGTAGCTCCAGAACACATTCGGCCAGTTACTACTGAAGAAGTCTGGTGGCCGGGAATAGACGATCAGCATGGAGAGGCCCTCGACCAACTTCAGCGCCTAAGCCGTGACACAGACGCCAGCGCCGACATGGAGTACGAAGATCTTCGAGGAGAACAACCACCACCAGCAGCAGAAGAAGAACAGGTTGTGGAGATGGAGGCGGACGCTGCAGGAGCTCCCGCCGAGGATGCGTCAGGAGTTCGTGATGATGTTGAGCTCTCACCTGCAGAGGAGCTCCCATCTGGTCAAGCTGACGCACCCCCATTATCGCCTACCCCGATTTCAACACAGACGCCCAGACAAATACAGAACAACCCTATACCCAACTACGACGACTGGAACCGCGAGGAGTTTCAGCGACGCCGAGCAGTTTACAGCCCCCTCGATGACGTACCGCATTGCATCCGAGGGAGTCCACAACAAGAAGAAGCTGCCCACCGCATCGCTGGACGACAAGCCGCTCGACAAGCGGGGCAGCCTTACATCGTCAGCATCGCCGATGACAGCGACCAGGATACTACCACCAACTCCAGCTTCGCAGTAATGCTTCGTGGAGCTCGAGCTCAGAGCGAAAGGCTAAGGAAGAAGCTTCAAGACAAAGAGATTGCTTGGAAGGACATCCCCGAGGAACACACGTCACTCTACCGAAAGGCCATCGCCGAGCACTGGGAGGAATGGAAGAAGTTCGGTTCCGTGGAGGCGCTTTCACTGGGGGAATCTCAACAAGCCCGGACCGAGAATGACGGCAACCGCTGCTTGCCGTCTCGCTTCGTGTTCCGTGGCAAGAGTGCCAATCTCCGCACGGGAGCCAACCCCGTGCCGGTGAAGGCCAAGGCTCGACGATGTGCTGGAGGACATCGTGATCCAGATCTGCAGACAGGAGCTCTACGGACAGACGCTCCCACGGTGACGCGAACCAGTTCGCTACTGTTCTTTACCATGGCGGCACGTTTCGACTGGAGCCCGGCGTGTGCCGACATCATGTCCGCGTTCATGCAGGGAGAAGAGCAGCCCAGAGACAAGCCTCTTTTCATGGAGCAGCCGCCCCAAGGTCTACCAGGACTTCAACCAGGACAAGTATTACGCATCGTCAAGGGAATTTTTGGACCGGCGACCGCCCCACGACAGTGGTGGGCTACTCTCAAGAACGCACTGCTGAAGGTTGAGCTCGTGAGCAAGGATGGCCACAAGTTCCACTTAGTTCAAAGCTTGGTGGATCCAGCTTTATTCGTGGGACATGGTTCAGACGGAACTCTGCAAGCTATTGTCTGTGTTCACGTGGATGATTTACTGATCGCTTCCAGTACTCAAGCCAGCTATGACATAATCAAGAAGTTGTTTCCGTTCGGAGGTTGGCAAGGGCTAGATTTCACCTTTTGCGCTAAGGATGTTGTCCAGCGTCCAGACGGAGCGATTCGAATGAGCCAGTCAGTATTCGCCGAGAAGCTAGAACCGCTCGAGTTGACCAAGGAGCGCAAACGAGATCCAGGATGCCCTGCCACGGAGATCGAGATCGCCGAGGACCGGAGCTTGATTGGCAGTTGGGCTTGGCTCGCTACGCAGACCCGACCAGACCTAGCTGCAGGAGTTTCGATGGCTCAGAGAGTACAGAGCTCACCGACGGTGGCCGACCTGATCGAGACGAATCGCATCGTATCCGAAGCCAAGCGCTACAACGAGACCGCCATCACGATCCCGAAGTTGCAGGACGAGCTCTGCATTCTAGTGTGTTCATGACGCTGCGTGGGCCAGCGTGGACGAGCCAGACGACAAGGTAGCCGGTGCCGCCTGGTGGTGCCGACGCCGCATGCGCAGCGCCTACGCTTCGGAGGCCCCGAAGAGGCTCAAGGCTAAGAGCCAGGCGGGATTTCTATCACTCGTGGCCGAAAGGAGGATCATCCAGGACGGAGAAGGCAAGGCAGCTTTGGTCGACTGGAGGTCAGCTACGATTCGCAGGGTATGCCGAAGCACCTTCGCAGCAGAGAGTATGAGTGCAGTGGATGCTATGGGAGCAGCTATTGTTATGCGTGCTTCAGTTCTTAATATTTTATTTCCGAGGATGAGTATCGACAGCATCGATCCTACCCTATGCCCGATTCAGTGTGTGACGGACTGTGCTTCTTTATATGATACAATTCACCGAGAAGGAGCTGTTAAACTTCCAGCTGAGCGTAGATTGGTTTTGAATTTGATCGGATTACGAGAACTCATGGAGGACGAGATTGTGGAAGAAGTGGCCGCAGCTACTAAATCCAAGTTGCCTTTGGCCTGGCGTCCTACTAAATATATGCTAGCCGATGCGCTAACTAAACGAATGGATGGATCGCAGATCAGGAAGTCGATGGATGGAGTTATCATGTATCATCAAGACACCCCGCCTAAGAGCGACCACGACTCGAGTGCGATGCTGAGTGCGTGGACGACCGACTGGGAGTACATGGTTTGATGTATTTCTGCAAGTGGACAGATATTGATAACGTGAGCACACTATGCCTTTTCCATATTACGCAGCCCATCGGCTGCCTGCTTATTTTTCCTTGGCAAACTGTTTGCACTGCTGTCTGTTGTTTTTGAGACGGCGGATTTCGCCCGCTGCGGGACCTGGGAGTTTTGATTTTTAGAACGCTTCCGTGCACTCCGTGTTTGTGCTTCTTGATCGACAAGGGGCAACATAAGTTTAGAACCAGTGTGAAAGCGAGAGTGCTGGATAGCCCAGCGTTTGCCCCTCGTCTCACTTGTTTCTTATCCGTAAACATTGCGGCTCCCAGGGCCCTTGAGTCTCAGGCGACACACGGAAAACATCAGCGCCTATCTCAGGAGTTGCATCTTCACACCCCCCTCACGTTTCTTCGTGGCCCATCGGGAGCTCCGCCGAAAAGCCCCACCCTCACTCCGGATCCGCCCTACTTTGGGGAAATTCGTAAGTGGGGCTTGGAACTTCCGCCTTACTTTTCAAGCCCCGCTGATGCCAATTCCCGCCCTGCTTTTCTGTGGCTGCTTCTGTGGATTCCAGCCCTATTTTATGTTGGGTGCAGCAATCTCCGCCCTACGTTTTCGGCCTCTTGTAGGTGGATCTCCGACGCAATGTTAAGTTGGAAAAAAAAGCCAAAGTAGGGCGGACCCGGAGTCAGGGTGGGGGAAATAAGACAAGTTGCAATCAATTGAAGCGAATTCCAACCGCTGTGGTACTAATTCCTACCAATTTGGTACTCACTCTTACCACTGTGTCATTATGTTTGACGACTTTGGCATGAATGCCAACTGACCTCTATGAGAAGCCGTGCAAGCGTCCCACAGGCGTCTCAAAAACGTGTTTGAAAGGCGTCTCTAAGAGGCCTCTTGTAGGTGGATTTCCGACGCAATTCTAAGTCGGAAAAAAAAAGCCAGAGTAGGGCGGACCCGGAGTCAGGGCAGCGGCAGCGCCCGCAGGCGCTCCCCCGCCCGCTCCGGCACACCCCGCACACGTTCGGGGGGGGGGGCCCTCCCGACGGGGGGGGTCTGCCTTCCCCGGGGCCCTCGTGGAGGCGCGGCGCGACGCGGGCCCCAGAGAGGGGCCCCGTCGAGGCGCCGAGGGGGTTTTGGTGGTCGTCTCTTGCGACAGCAGTGCTAGCGCTCGCGCCGGGGTCGATGTTCGGCCGTCCGTTTGGGGTATTCCGCCCCCCTGCGATGAAGATCGATGTTCGGCCGTCCGTTTGGGGGGCATTTCGCCCCCCTGCGATGATGAGGAAACTCCGAGATGGGGCAACGGAGAGGGGAGATGAAGAAACTCCGAGAGGGGGCAACGGAGAGGGCCAGAGGAGGGAGGAAGGGGGGAGGCGGGCGAAAGAAATGTGGGCGGGAAGGAGAGGGGGGGGGGGGGGGCGGGAAAAGGTGGAGGGGGCGAGAAAGAGGGAAAAGGAGGGGGGGTCGGAATGGAGGTCAAGACACCCTCCCCGCCCGCAAGCCGTCTCGCTCACCACCCCCCGCCCTCACAAGTAGCACCCGAGCCACAGCGTGATCAGCGGTAGTCTTTGGATGGGCAGCTACCGGGAACCAACATCCGCCCGAGTTGCGTCACGCTGGGGCGAGATGCGCCAGGCGTGCCGAGCGCGCCACGCACGCGAGATGCGCCGAGCACCCCTGTGGCCCAAGCGTTCCGGGCACGCCTGGTGCGCCAGATGCGCCGCGTGATCCACGTGCGCCACATGTGCCGCATGCTCCAGCCGCGACAGGTGCGCCACGTTCGGGGCACGCGCAGAGTGTGCCGGGTGCGCCTGCGCACGTGGCAGCACACATCGGGGAACGTGTCGGCCCCCACCACCCTCGTCGAAAACCAGTGCGCAATCGCGGCGGGGTGGCCATCATAGCGCCTGGTGAGCCTGCACATCTGGCCATCGCTCGGACGTCCATTCCCTTTTTTGTTTCGGTTTCGTGCATGGTTTTTTCGCCAAATGATCAAGGATGCTCCTCGCCGAAGGAAAAATGCACACGTCTGAGCGATGCCAAGACATAGCAGGCAACATGCCAGCACCCCCGCCGTCCCAGTCAAGAACCAATGCACGGTGATCGCGGGGTGCCCGCGCACGACCCAGATTTTGTCTCGAAGTGCATGTTGTATGTTTTTGACAAGGATGCTCGCCCTGCGCGCAGCAGGCAACATGCGGGCACCCCCGCCGTCCCCATCAAAAAACCAGGCAAGGTGCTCGCACCCCCCCCGATCATGACCCAAGATTTTGCCCCAAAGTGGACTTTACATTGTTTTTTGACAGGGATGGTGGGGGGTGGTGCCCGCATTGGTCCTGGTTGGCTGCCTGTCGCCTGGGGGAGGGGGTGTTTACGAATAGAGAACAATGAAACAGGAACGAGGGGGGGTAGGAGAAGGGAGAAAGGGGGAGGAAAGGGGGGATAGGGGAGTTGGGGGTGGAGGAGTGGGGGGGGGGGGGGCGGCCAGAGTAAGGGGGTGAACCCGAAAAACACCTGAGGCGAAACTCGAACATCTGGCGCCAAACCCGAAAACCCAGAGAGAGCCAAATCCGAAAACCGGCAGAATCCCGAAAATCCGAAGGAGCGAAACCCGAAACCTCAGGAACGGCCAACCCCGACACCCTCGATAGCCAGCCTCGCCTCCGCCTCGTCCTCTTCCTCCCCCTCCTCCCCTGCCTCTTTCCTCCTCCTCCTCGTCCTCCTCCTCCTCTCCTCCTCTTCCTCCTCCTCCCCCTCCTCCTCCTCCCCCCCTCCTCCTCGGCCAACCCCCTCCTCCATTCCTCTTCCTAATAGCAGATTTTCCCTGTCGCACCCCGAGGCCAGTTTTTAGGGCGGGCCGGGCGTTTCGCCTGAGGCTTCCTCGCCGTTTATGATGTTGAAGCTCAAAATTGACAGTAGTTTCACAGATGGAGGGCGGGTCGCTTTCAACATGTGGCTCTCGCCTGATCGCCGCGCACATGACCCTCAAAACGTGGCTCTCGCCTTAGCGCCGCGCATATTCGTTCTAACAAATTGCAAGAACTTCGCGGATTGAGGGCGGCTCCTTTTCACAATGTGGCTGTCGCCTTAGCGCCGCGCGCATTCGCTTTAAACGTTTGCAAGAGCTTTAAGGTTTAAGGATTGAGGGTGGGTGGTTTGCAAATGTGGCTCTCGCCTTGGAGCCGCACACACTCGTTCTAAACAAGTTGCAAGAGCTTCACGGATTGAGGGCGGCTCATTTTCACAATGTGGCTCTCGCCTTAGCGCCGCGCACATTCGCTTTAAACTTTTGCAAGAGTTTTAGGCATTGAGGGTGGGTGGTTTGCAAATGTGGCTTTCGCCTTAGCGCCGCGCACATTCGCTCAAAAAAATTGCAAGAGCTTCACGGATTGAGGGCGGCTCCTTTTCACAATGTGGCTCTCGCCTTAGCGCCGCGCACATTCGCTTTAAACGTTTGCAAGAAATTCACGAATTCCCAGGATCAGCGTACCAGAAATGGTGTTTGGAAGGGTTCAGGATTAGGAGGGTGCAACAGTTACGTTGATTCGCGGTGTTGACGTCCCAGTAATGGTGTTCTGGCACGATCCAAGATCGTCAAGACGCAACAGTCAGGTTCATCTGTGGCGTTGGAATCCCGAGAACAATGTTTTGGCATGCTTCAGGGTCTTCAAACAGATGTCTTCCAACGAGGCAGTTCCCTCAGTGGAAATGAACCGTTGTAGGGGCCAGCCTATGCAGAGGGAGCTTGGAGGGAGGGTTTATCCCAACAGCGTTGATGACTCTTGGGTTTCCACTGGTCCTTCTCCTCCTCATCATCCCCTGCCGCGGCGACAGACCAGCGGCGAAAATCCACACCCGAAAATCCGACCGAACCCACACCCGAAAATCCGAGAGGCGCCAAGCCCAACAATCCAGTTCAGACCAGCCCCACCTCGCCCCTCCTCGTTCTTCCTTCCGCCCCCGTCCTTCCCCCTTCTCGTTCGTCATCCACCTCTCCTCCTCGCTCGTCCCCGTCCTCCTTGTCTTCCTTCCGATCATCCCACCTCCCCCTCCTCCCTCCTCCTCCACCTCCTCGCTCGTCCTCCCACGCCTCCTACCCTCCTCTCCTCCCTCGTCTCTCCTTCTCCTGCCTCTTGCCTCCTCTCCCTTCTCCTCCCTCCTCCCGCCTCCCCCTCCTCCCTCCTTCCTCCTCCCTCCCTCCTCCCTCCTCCCCCTCCTGCTCCCTCCGCCCTCCTCCCTTCTGTCTCCTCCCTGCTCCCCCCTCCATCCCTCCTCATTCCTCCCTCCTCGTCCCT